ATATATATATATATATATATATATAATCCCAAAAAATTTGAAAGACGCAATTATAAATTATACAATTCTACTTTAAGAGTAGTATCTATCAAAACCACTACAACTTTGAGTAACCCATGAGAAAGAAATCTATTCTTTCCCCAAATTTAAGGTTTTGGAATATAACAAAGTTTTTGGACAACTCTCTTACAATATAAATTATTTCTTTATATAATATACAAGATTAAATAACAATTATATTTCCATAAAAATAAATTATACTCGTATATATACAAATTTTCCTTTTCTTAGTACGTATTTTTATACAGTTTTTTCAAGACGTCGTTATCCATGGCGCGTTTTGTTTAATTAGTACACATAAATTATTAGGTGTTCCAATATATAACCATATCATATAAACCGTATGACGTAGTAAAGTTGGTTTTAAGTTAATATACTTACACAAACGTGCTAAGGTTCGAGTCTGACAACCCCTTAACAAATCTTTATGTACTTGATAAGTGATAACTTCCTCAAACGATGCTCTTATGACGAAGTGACGTAAATCGGTTTATCGTTGCCGGGTACAAACCCTTTATACACAAACTATAGCCCTCAAGAATCAACGGCATCTAACAATAATCGAATATTAGAAATTACTCATCAACTTCAATTTGGTTTTTATTTATTAACTTTTTAACCTTCAATTTTGATTGGACGGATACATTTGATTTTATATTTTCGGGTATCATTTTGGCTGGATTCGAAGGAAATGGCACATGTTAAGAAGCCGATATCCCTTTTAATCTGATTCAATAATGTATTTAATAACTGTTATAAAATTTTAATGGCTCCAACGAATTAAATAAGAATACCAACAGAGTCGTAAAAATATACAAATAACTGTATACGGCAAAAACCCGACATACATGTGTTTATTTCGTATGAGTTATTAGGTATTAGATACAGATCGAAAAGAGCAATTATATAACTTTTAAACCATAAAATTCAAATACTATTGCTCTAGTATATGGATTCCATTAAGTCACCAACAAATGAAGCAACTTCTCTTCCAATTTGGCAAGATCCCCAAAATTCAGCCAAGAATGAAATGACAATGAAGAAAACCTGCAAATATCATCATCCAACATAAAATTAGAGATTTCCCGATATTTGATTTGGGATTGTTTATAAAAACAATTTATTGACTTATTCCGATGTAGCACCGGTAGAAATAAGCACTTTTGAGTGTTTGGATAAACAACTTATACTGGTGTCAAACCGGTAATAAGGAGTTTTTGTATAATAAGTTGATAAGTGCTTTTGTAGGTTGTTTTAAACAAGCAATCCCAAACACCCCAAAATTTCCAAATCTTACTTGGGTCCGAACTGATGAGCATTGCAGTCCCTTCGAACCCACAGACTCCACCATTGTTCTTGTTTTTCTGCCAGTAACTATTGAAAGCATAAGATGCATGAGCAACAACCGAGTCCGGTGAGTAACAACTTCCGGTGGGTGTGATCGGACCACAGTCTGCACCTCCGGCTCCACACGCATAATCCATCGCCTCCTGCAACTTTTCCGACGGCACACTAGGTTTTGCGACACACCACAGTTGTTCTTGCCCATAACCACTCCGTGATGTCGGTGGTTTCGCCATTGATCTACCGGTGCTACCAACAACCGGTGGAGGAGCTTGGTAGGGATTACAGGGCGGGAGATTAAACCCGTAATGTGGAGCGGGACTGCTCGCCGGAGACATTATCGGAGGTTGAATCTCCGGCGCCAGTGAAGGGATTCCGGTGAGTGGTGAAAAGGTATAACTAACCTGTGACGGTGGAGTTACTGACCACCATAAAGGATCGATGAATGAAAGCTTTCTCGATTGGGGTCTCGTTTGTTTTGACACAGGGAAGATCACATCCACCATTTCGGACTGAAAAACCCCCAATTCTTTCATCGATTTCAACTCAGAAATCAATAATTTCACAATTTCGTTAGAAAATTGAGGTGAATTTATGGTGTAAGTTGAGTTTATCTCCTCCAAAAAGCCAAAAACAGACCTAAGGTGCGATTGATGGAAACAATTTGATGAAATAGAAACAGAAACTTTGATTTCTTTCTCTAAACCCCATCTAGTGAGAGAATAATAGATGTTCTTCATCGAGTGAAGAGTCAATCCAGCAATCTCTTCTCGATTTCTGGTTTTCTCTTCATTGCAAAGAAGGTTATTAGCAATAACAATGGAGTTTATATTGTTGGAAGGGTATCGAGATAAAACATGAATCCTTAGCCATTTTTCCGCCATTAAAACGCTATTTGAAACCTCATTAAGCTTTTCTTCATCCACATAAACTCCCATTGTTGGAATCGAAGCCACAGGTGATGAATCATGGCGATACAGAGTCAAAATCTGCAACAATTCTTGACCTAAAACTGAAAAAATGACGAATTAAATTACAAAAAATACTTCAGAAGAAACAGAGTCGTGTGGTTTTAGAGCTTACCTGAAGAACAGAGGAAGAAGAAGAAGAGAGGAGCTAAGAGGATCACCATTTTCAACATCATGATGGTTTCAGAGCTTGCAGAATATGAATTGATTTGAAGGGAACGAATCAGAGTGATGGTTTTTGTGGTGGAAAGAACAGGGTTTTGGAGTGGAGACGAAGGTATTCTTCATGAATCTTAATATTTTCAAAAGGTTTTCAGTTGTAATATGTGCTTTATGAGTTGTGCCTTTGGAGGTATTTACAAACTTTCGTAATAGTTTATATTCTTTGGATCAGTTGATTTTTTAATCTAAATGCTTGTTTATTTATCTTTTAATAGTTTTATTAAGAAGCAATATTTGAATTGTTAAGAGGTAAATCTTGTTTGACAAAAAAATATATTATAAAACTCTCTGAATGATTTTGTGTCTTCCTTAACCATTTAGCGCCATAATTTTACTGTAAATAATTACCAAACAATTATATTTCATTTTATACTATATCATGAGAGTCTTTTAATCGTTACAAAGCTTTAGCTTAAACAGGGATATAGAGATAATGTAAAATACACAATTGTCTTAACTTAAAGCTATTAGCAAGGAAAATATACATTTAATTATAACTTAGAACTGAATGTATAATTATGATAAAAATAATAAATAATATATATTATGAAAAAATAATATACAGAATACACTTATATTTATTTATAATCATAATCAGCTGCTGCATAGCAGAAATTATGTAGTATAAGCAAAGAACAAATCTCCAATATAACATTGTTCTAAGCTTTTACATGTCTTAATTAATAAGCCTATATATATGATCATACTTCTATTACAATACAATGAGATCAACATCAAGCCTTTTGTTTTCTTCAATCCGACCCTACTCTCTCTCTCTCTCTCTCTCTCTCTCTCTCTCTCTCTCTCTCTCTATATATATATATATGTATATACATATCCACCGTCACATCGTGGCCGATAACGAAAAATACGGAGCTCCTGTTATGCTCTTCGATCTCAAGATCTTTTTCACCAATATCTTCCACATTATATCGTCTTTCTTCTTTTGTTTCTTCGTCTTCTCCTTCAAATTCCTGTAACAACGACAGATTTTTCTGGTATCAATATACTTATTGCATACATTTATATATGATGCCCAATTGTTTGGTCTTATAAGTATATAAATCCTATAAAATAGTCTATTAAGACATTTCACTATGATAAAAATCGGTTTTTAAAATGTCAGATATATCTAAATTTCCTAATAGACTCGTTTAGAGTACTAAACAGTTGTTTGTTTTATGTAAAAGTGTTACGATAAGTTGATAAGATGTTTTTGGGCGTCTTAACAAGGTTTTTAGAATACTTTTGAACTAAAATGTCATAGTAGTCTTTTTATATAATATTATTTGGAAAACAAATTTTTGAAAAAGTGTCATGTAAAAGTTGTGTTCGTATAACATCTTTCTTTAGTACACCTATTAACCTATTGTAACACTTTTGCATAGGAGATTCAATTGTTTGGTCATATAAACTAAATTCCTATAAAACAAAAAGCTGGTTTATTGGGACATTCAAACATATTTGACATCCTATAAAGTCGATTTTATTGTAGTGTTTAGACGTTTTTGACATCCTATAAAACCGATTTTGTAAGAATGATTTAATATACCATACGTACTTGCATAGAGGAACCTTGCAAGTGTTTGAATCGATGCAAAGGCGAGAGTGTAGCTCCAAAAGTTGCCACATTCGTTTGCAATGGATACAGCCACCGGGGACTCGTAGCTTGCAAGCAGCAAAATGGCGAATGAGAGATTCTAAGCCTTTGCAAGCTTCGTAGCTGCACGGCTCTTGATGCTCGTTCAATACCTTATCGTGTGGGCCAATTGTCCTACAACCGTCTCTACATATATGAACAAGGGCTTCCATCGCCTCGTATAATTCTAGATATATCTTTCTCTCCTTCACCTTCTTCGCCTTCTCCTTTTGCCTCTGCAAAATCAATTGTATCATGTCATTTTGATGATATAAAGAAACCAATCATATAATTTTCACACTGAAGCAGATCAAGGACATATCTCTACCCAAAAAAATTAGAGGTATGAGACAATGTCAAATCTAATTGGTTTATTATATTGCCTCAGGACGTGTAGCTTCGTTAGCAAATGAGTGAGAAGACTTTATCCAAATACATAAAATACATGGTTTCAGGACTCCACTAGCCTCGGCCGTTAAGTGAGCCAAAAAATGTCCTCTCACATTGGTTTCTTTATAGGCGGGCTCCATGTGGGATGGTTAGAATTGCACGTAATCAACTATTTGTCTAAATTGATTTATTATATTAGGAAAAATTGCACCAAAATGAAACCAACTTTCACTTGATTCCTATTTTGGGGAACCAACTTTCAAAATCGTCATTTTGGGGTTTCTATCAAACTTTTTGTTTATTTAAGGAACTGGTTGATCTGTTGAACAGGTAACAAGTAATTTAAGAGTCTCTATCAAACTTTTGGTTTGATTTACCAAATTTGATTTAAACTTTAATATTGATACGGATTGTTTAGATATAAAAATCTTGAATGTGATATTTAATATTTATTTTTTTAATGCATCAATTACTTTTTTTTTCTATTAAATTGATTTTTTATTGCATTAGTAAAAAACAATTTTTATTGTGGTAATTTGGATTTTTTTTTTTTTGAAAAAAATCTTCAATTTGATATCTGAATTTAAAAAAAACGAGATTTGAAATGAAAAATAGATTTTATTGCATTAATTTTTGAAATAAAACGAATTTTAGTTATTTTTCTATAATTATTTTGCAAGTTGGTTCCCCAAAATAGAAATCATGTGCAAGTTGGTTCCCCAAAATGACGATTTTGAAAGTTGGTTCCCCGAAATAAAAATCAAGTGAAAGTTGGTTCCATTTTGGTGTAATTTTCTCATTATATTATGTAGCCAAGATGATACAGATTGTCCCAGTATGTCGAACCATTGTTGTGATAAAACCTCGCTTTGTTACCATGTGAAAATACGTGGAACCCCATTAAATTACCCTCTAAAAGAATCCATGAGAAGAGAAAAAGAGAGTTAGGTGATGTGAGACTCCAACATATAAGAAGCATGAGTAATATGTAAGGATGGATTGAAATGCTTACATTGGCTTCATCAGCAACGGTTTCGAGAAGTTCCTTTTCGAGAATCGGATGACTCGTTTTCATGGCCTTCCAGGCTTCGGATGAAGAGGCGGCTTTAAAGTTCTTTAGGATTATTCGATGGCAAATGATACTAAGTCGCGGGGCATCACATAACAGCGCTAGTTGAAATACGTCTACGACATTGTCTATGTTTAGGAATTTATGTTCGAGTCGATGTTCGCACTCTCGTTTCAAACGTGGTACCACGTAAGCATGCGAAAGCACCAACAAAGACAAAATGTGTTCTTCCATTTGATACTCTTCATAGCTACATCAAACAAACAAAAACAAATTTTATGTTTAAGGTTCCAAGAAAACAAATAGAATGTCTCCACAATTTTGGAGTATTCCAAGAAATTCTTGTAGAATGAGCGGGAGGTCAGGGGTTCGACTCCGGTCACCACCCACCTGTCTTAGGTCCTTGACCCAAAAGGACGGGTGGTTTAGTTCCCCATAACGATCATGACTCATGATATCAGTACAGTGGGGACGCTTCAAACGATGACGTCATACCCTTTTTGCAGAAATAGATAAACTCGATGTTATTGAGGAAAGGATCGAGATGTTACCATGAAGAGTACAAGAATCGGATGAAAATACGAACAGCCTCGGCAGGAACGCCACGAATAGGAACGGAAAATGGCCGATTGCTTCTACTCTTTCGATTAAATATGCCTCTAAAAACAGGCGAAGCTAACCCCTGTCGGAAAAGGAAACAAAACATTGATTGAAAATGTGAGAATACGTGGAATCCCATAAAACTCCTCAAAACAGTCCTTTCGAGAAAATCCAAGTCTCGGGTCCATAGAGTTACAGACCTTATGATACCATGTGAGAATACGTGAAACTCGTGTAAGTCTCTAAAAGAGCCTATCGAAAGGGGAGGTTCCAACGTATATAAAGGATAAATGTTTAAATTTAGCCGATATGTGCTCCAACAGAATCTGTACGATGTTGGACTTACGAGAATGCTAGAATGTGCGTAGATGATGTCGTCACTACTTGTGTAAATCGAAACATCAGCTCTGTAAGCATCATCGAAGAGACGATCCCATGATTCTGACATGGCTGCAGAAACACAACAGCTTCGTCGTCCAAACGTTGTCCTGTGTGTCTTCATGGTTGTCGTCGATGAAGCAGACGGTAATGGAGGAGGCACGGGTGCATCCTTTGCAACAACCACTGGACTTTCCTCGTAACTGCTTCCCATGATTTCTAGACCTTCGTGTTCCTCTGTCAAATCAATTACATCTTAGATTCCTTCCCAACCTCAAATGATTCATTCTTAAAAAAATTATTAATCATATTATTGATGTTTAATTTCAGATTACAGATCGATCCACGTTGGCATAATCGCGTAGATCCAATCCAATCCAACATCAAGCACATGTGGATGCGTGGATCGCCATCGATGATAGGGAAACCTCAGATTTATGTTTGTGAGTTACAATGTTGTGTTTCGGAATTTAGGAATCATCAAATTACCTTAAGTGAACAAATTGGAAAACAATGGCGAAACAGAGCTTGAGAATTATGTGAAAAAAATCACTTCCAAATCATCAACCTCGTCTTCTTCCGAAACCTAAGCCTCGTCAATCTCTTTGTATCTGTGTGTGTGTATTCTGATATCTAACTACATATAAATCCACCAATTGTTACAAGCTCGTCGGAGATCAACAGCGCCACCACCGTCCGCCGTGGTCCGCCACCAATGATCAACTTGTAACAATGGCGGATTGAATTTCTGGATCTCTGAGAGGATTTGACCAATGAAATGGGTTAGAAATGGCGAATGATTTATAGAAAAATTCATGGAAAAAACATTAAAAAAAATCCTGAAATTTGGTTGGTGAGATGTGATGATTTGTTTCTTTGTCAGCTCCGACGCATAGGTTAAAACGTGCGGTTTGTGAAATGAAGATATACATGAATAAGACGCGGCAACACCCGTTCACGCGCTGTCCCGCGATTGGATTTCCCGCGTGTTTCATTTCCACCGTTGGTGAGTTTCACTTTGCCCCCTTTAACTATTTTTAGTTGGCAGAAAACATCCAAAAGTTTTAGGATATGGCAATTTTTTGAATTGCTACTTTTTGTAGGCCAAAATAGATAAACTAGGCATTGTTATTTTATATATCTTTTAAATATAGTGCTTCAAAAAAATGTGTTTCAATTTTGTGTTTATAATATTATAATGATATTCATTACGTCAATTTGTCGGGAAAACAGTATTTTAACTGGTTATTCTCCAACCAGCTTAAGTTGTCCCTTTCCAATAACATATAATGAGATTTAAATCATAAATACAGTAATTTGTTAAATAGTTGTCTTAAGAGTCCTGCCCACAAGAAGCTCAAGTCCATAAGGAATTGTGGCTACCACATTTCAATTGTCATTACGTATGACGGCAAAAAACTATAACAGAAAAAATATTAATGTACTAATAATTATTGGTGATTTATGCTATGTATTTTGCTTTAGTTTTTTTTTATGAAAATGATATAGTTTTATCAGTATAATATTTTATGATATCGATATTTTTTGATAATCAATAACTAAAAATAATATGATGTGTCTATCTATTTTCGCAATTTGTATATGTCTATTTTCTTGACGTCAAAGTTGTCAGAATCGAAGTAACATGAGCATCATGTGATGGGTTATTTTATTCTAGAATAAAAAATATATCGACATTTTGTACGAGTTAAATAAGGTTTTCATTGGAAGTTTTCAGCAAATGAACTTACTTTTGTATAGGCATGAAGCCATAAAGCATCTGTTAACTGTTCTAGGTAAGAAGGTGGGAATCTTAACTGATGTCTCAAATGGGTTCAAATCCGAACACCATCTACCTACTTATGGGACACTGCATTTTTCCTACCCTGACAACTGTGTCGGAAAACTTGAAAATTTAAACTATTTATATTTTCTCAACCATCTAGGTAAAACAATAGTTTTGAATGCCTTGATTCAAAAACCTCCACAAGCCGAGTCTACAATACTCTAGAATTTATTATCAAACTGAAGGGGCTAATTTGATTTATTCAAAAATTAAAGGGGCCAATTTGACTAGTTCAAAAGATTAAGGTGGTAAAGTATAGATTTAGAACCATGCTTACGTGGCTCTTTGCTGGCCGTTAATTGGGTTATCGTGGTTGCCAGCTATACTTTTATGCGGTTTGGTAGTTTATTAGCCCATGTGAAGATCTCATTGACCTGACCGACTTTATTGCATTGGTGTGTTGTACCGTACAAATGCATGTAGCTTGTTCTAAATTAAACATAAAGGGTCAAATTCATTTAATTTTTGTTTTTGTTTTTTTATAATATTACGAAAATAGAATATAAATAAAAGAGTACTATATATAATATTATTTTAATACTCTTCTACTTTTTTATTTAACAAATTGAAATAAATTAAACATTAAAAATCCAGCCATAAAACTTTGAATAAGATAGATCATGTTATATATCAACTAAAAGACGTCTAGCAAATAATTAAAGATAATATAAGATTTCCTTTGGATAAAAATTATTCGCCAATAAATAAATTAGTAAAATTATATATATATATATATATATATATGGTATATTTCAAATGCAACCATGTTCATTTGTACAATCAATACAACTCAATTAATTGAGATATTTATGAAAATAATAAGAGTTCATTTATTATGATTTAAATATTTATAGAAGATGAATAAGGTTCATTAATTATGATCAATACTTTATATTATAAAATAATCAAAACTTCTATGAAATCATATATTAATCAAATTAAATAAACGATAAAGATTGAGTTGTATTGGTTGTACAAATGTAGAGTATTGTATAATAATCAACCTCTCTCTCTCTCTCTCTCTCTCTCTCTCTATATATATATATATATATATATATTTTTTTTCTCAAACGAGAACACTATCTATTTAAGAAAACAAAAAAAATGGTTAATATATAAAATAATATGTGATTTTACATTAATGTCAAAGAAAATGGAAGCAAGTCGACTTTACTCACGGGCAAAGTCGTGTCGAATCATATATGATTTTGTACATTAACGACTATTTTTTTATTTTTCTTAAATAGTTAATGTTCTTATGAAGTGGAGCTAAGATGAAAAGCATAAGGACGAATCTTCACCATTGGATACACATTATGATGAGATGCACTAAAATGCATTAGATCAATTTCCATATCAATCACGATTCATAAATGGGTTCGAGATTAAAGGTGATTAAAGATCCAGATCCATTCTTACAATTATCATCTTAACTCTTTTTTTTCATTTTATATTTTATATTTTTTTTCATTAGATTATTTTTGTTCTTCCATTTTTTTAATGTTCTTTCTTGATCCCCTACACACACATGGTTTTTTTATAAACCACATCATTGATAAAAATTGTGAAAACCATTCCCACGGTTTGATATCTTTGATCAACAAATGACAATGAAGTATTTAATTATTGAAAAGGGATAATTCGATCTTCTTTTGTTGATTGGATAATGCTTTAATTAATGATAATACCAGATTTTTGTCCGTTTTATTGAGATTTTTCTTATTCATGATTAACCACTTCAGATTTTTTTAAACCACTGATTTTTTGAATTATTTAAGTACTCGTTCTTTTTAATTAACAACTTCAGATTTTTTTTTTATTCATGATTTTTCATATTTTTGTTTCAGTTTTCTAGTTATATATATATATATATATATATATATATATATATATAGGGGTGGGTTCAAATAAAAACCACTTAATTTGTAAAAACCGTGAAAACCTCA